GTACCAGAACGGTAGACTTAACGAAAACACAAATGCGAAATAAAAATTGGGGGCGAGAATACACAAAAATGAAATAAGGCGAAAATTGAATGAGAACAAGGGAGAAATCCTCAACAGGAAAGAAACGAGAAATGCAAATAAAGAAAAGAGGCAGGCGCAACGCACGAAAGAGCAAAGTTGGGCCCGGGGCGCTAGCGAGGGGCCGAGGGAGACCCGTCGTTTGTCTTCGCGCGCGCTAATACGCGGCGCGGTATCTGGCCGCGTTGGCCGCCGCCGCCGCCGCCCGCAGTTAAGCAGGCGCCGTATATCGCCCGCGGAATTACGTACTCGGGGGCGCCGCCGCCGTCGTTCCTTCCCTCGCAGCCACGCTCTCACCAGTCATGCTTCACGCCGGTTTCCAGATCTTCTGCTCGGGCCCCCATTTCGTGAGTTTCGCTGTCGCATAAACTTATTTCCTTCCGAGGTGCCAGTTCCACAAGCTCTTTTTCTCAATTCTCACTCTAGGGCATTTGCATTCCATCAAGATTTGCTTCTCGATCATTACATTACTTGTCCTTGTGCGACCTCCTCCTCGCTTTTAACGGGCCGGTTCTCTTTTTCCATTCCACCATTTTACTTTCCCTTCCACAGATTTTCCGATTTCCTTTCGTCGCTCCGATATTCTTTTGAATTTGAATCGTATTTGTAACATAAAGCTATCTTGCTTTCATTTAGCGAAAGGTGCTCTCTCCGTTTCATACCATTTCTCTATCGTCTTTTCTAACAAGTCTTCGGTACATTTTTCATCACATTTCATTTCCGATCCATTCTCTACACCATGTTTAAAAGCCATCGCTTTCCGTTTCATTGAATTTCCCACCCCCTTCCTCGCTAGTGTGTCTCTCCCATTCAGATTCCGCTTCGCCCCCGCAAAGGCATTCGCAAGCTCTGCATTTGCCCGCTTCCAACGTTTCACTTGTGCGCTCCCCAGCCGCGCGTCTCCCGCGCCGCCGCCAAGGAAGGGCAGGTTCGCCGGCGGCAGCGGGCGCTTGTTCGCCGACGCAAAGGGAATACCAAGTACGCGGCGCCCCGGCGCCCGCGAGGAAGTGCGATAAAGATCCCGCCTTCGCGCCCTCGCGCATCGTTACCGGCTTCCGCGCAGAAGCGCGCGCGCTTTCGTCCTGCGATGGATCGACGAGTGCACGGCGAGCGATCCGAGGGAAATCGACACGATCGTTAGCCCCCCGCCACCGGGCCCGCGCAGCCGACCTCGATGGCCGAGCCTCGATGGAGATGCGCAAGTCGCCGCTTCGTTTGAACGGGGTCACGTTTACCCAGCGCCTGACGGGAGCTGAGATGAAGTTTGCGCAAGATGAGCTAACGGAACTAATGGCTTTTCCGCCCGAACTTCGCCGAAAGGAGCAATTTACTCCCGAATGAAGAGCGGCCACCTCTATGCGCCCAACTTCTTACCTAAAAAGCAGCAGCAGCAGCAGCAGCAGCAGCAGCAGCAGCAGCAGCAGCAGGGGCCGTCGGGAGCGAACGTGACGCGCGGCGCAGCAGCCCGCCTTACGGCGCCAACGGCCGCGCAACCTCAATGTGTCATAGACGACGTACAAATCACGCCCGCCCCACCAACGTTAATGGCCACAATCCTGAACGCGGTCTAGGTCGTTAGCTGCTATTTAGAGGCATAATACGCACCGTACATTGTTGCGCAGGCGCAGTTCCCGCCCCGCGCCGAGCGAGTAGTATTAGTCTAAAATTGTTAAAAGCGCGGAAGCAGGCCTCTTCGCGAGATAAATCAGCATTTCACACCCGCTTAAGCGAACTTTTAAACTGCGAGAGCCGCAAAGAATGTGATATAAAGAAATATAAATCACGGGGATTCGCGCCGCAGAGCACGCGGCCCGGGATGACAGGATAACAGAGTGGGTCGGGCGGAGGATGTCGCGCTAGATAACGGCGGCGATAAACCGACTTAATGAAACTCGGCCTACGCGTTGGGCGGAAGGAGTCAACCAGTGTGGGACGCCATGGAAAACCGAATTCATGGGAATATTTAGCTAGAGAAGCGGCAATTTAGCGAACTGACGAAAAAAATGCACGAGAAAAACTTGATTTGGAATATTGATAAGTTTGCGAAACAACGACAATGATCAGTTTCATGATCTCCAAAGAAACGAACCTATCAACCACATAAGACCACTGAAGCTGCTCATGTACGAGATGGCCAAGGAACGGAAAGAAAAATAGCATGTGTGTACAGAGAGAAGGAGTGAGCATACTTCCCGGAAAGAATGGGAAAAAGCATATGAAGCATACTCAGTAGAGTCGCCTTAACAAGAGCACAATTGAGTGGAAAATAAGTTTAGTGTAGCGAGCGAACAAGGAAAGAAAAATACCAGTAAAGAAGGGGAGAAAAAGTGGGTGAACAAACTGCAAGGAAGCGCTTCTCCAGACTGCCGGGGGTATTACACGCAATTAAAAAGTTATTCCAAAATTTCTCCCTTATAATAACAGTCCACGATGAGCCACTCTCTTAAACCAAGTTACCGAGCGCGAGATTAGGTTGTCACTTTCAAGGGCCCTCCAACGCGGTCGCTGAAAATTGGTAGCCGACCTGGCGAAGTTAAATATTTTGCTTAAATGTGTCGCTTTGTGAGCTGAGGAGGCTACGATGAACTGAAAAATTCAGATATAATTTTAAAAACATCGAGGTAAGTAAATTTCGAAGTAAATGGTAAAAGTGAATTACCTATCACTTCCAAACTTGTGTGCCAGTGCTAGCGAAGGAAACTGAAGCATATTTCGTACCATTCTAGAAAGCAATGAAACGATGGTCACGGAAACTCAAATTTATTCATACTTGAGACTAAGTCGATTCATCGCTTTCGTAATCCACAATGCCTTCACAATACGTCATGATATGAAATTCATTTGTACATACATGTGTCAATGTACATAATTTAATTATTAACTGTAATAATTTTAAAAAGATACATACTACATGTCTGTGTCAATGATTAGCATGGTTGTTGTGTCCTGTGTTAAATGTGCCCAGTCAATGTGTCCGTTTCCTTTGTACATAAATCTAAAGTATCACCTGTGCAGGCGGATTTCCTGCAGCATTACGTCTCGTTAAGGACTGGTAAAGAGATGTGTTTCAATTAACCGCGATCATTAATAATACGTGAATGTCAAACAACACAGCACTGATACAATTACGTTCGGTCAACACGCTGCACACAGAAACACGCAGCATGCGGCTCCCAAATCAAATAACATTTGGGGGCAAACGGAGCTCCAGAAGCTACTCCGCTCGGCCAGCGGCCCACCACACGGCCCGCTCGCAAACATTTAAACAAGGCCAAACAACGCGAGGTCTCTTCACGCTCGGGCATTGTCTTGTGTTAGAGCGGTCAATCGAGCTTTCCTATGTTTAAAATCTAAGAGAATAAACAAACACACGAAGTACATGCATTGCGTATGGACGCAACATTAAATTACTGTCGAGTAACTAGATAATATCACCACTCGATTCCTATGCTTATGCAATACTGAATCAATACTTGTATGAACAACACAACATAACTACATACGTGTGTAGCTATTGCAAATGCGACGACGCCCATTGTTGAATCGAAAGCATTCTGACGATGGAAACAGTCAGTAGGGAACAGAAGTAAGAGCGAGCGCGTTAATTTGACCATTCGCTGCACGGGCCCGCTCGTCTAGTGGTGGGTAGCGCGAGCGCCGAGCCTGCGAGCGCCCGGGGCGTGGTGCGCGCGTGCGCAGGGAGGAGCTGCCTGGCGCGGTGGCGGGCTTGCGGCGGGAGACGAGCATCTGATGGCCGGCGGGGACCCCTGGGCGGGCGCCACGCTGCTGCTCGACGCCGACGACGACGACGTCGCCGCCTCGCTGCCGCCGCCGCCGCGGCGCTTCAACGGCGGCCCCCGCGGCCGCTACTCGCCCCGCCGCCGCCGCCCGCCTCGCCGCCCGGGGGCTGGCCGGCGGGGCGGCGGCGGGCGTGGGGCGCCCCGTGGGCCGCTGCCCCCGTCCGCCGCCGCTGCTGCTGGCTGACGGCTGGCCACGACTCCCCTTCGTCGCGGGCCGTCGCGCGCCCGCGCCTTCGCCGCGCCGGCCACCGCCGCCGACCGCAGCCGCCCTCGCCGCCGTAGCGGCCCCGACGCCCCGCAGGACCGCCGTCGCTCGCCGCAAGCGACCGCCCGCCTCACCAGCGACGAAGACGAAAGGCGAAGGCCCCCTGCCGCGCGCCCACGGGACCGCCTTCGCGTGGACGCCGCGGCCGCGACGGCCTCGCGGCGCGCGGGACGGACGGCGCCGGAGACCGCCGTCGGCGCCCGGCCCGGCGCGACTGGGCTCCGTTTCGTGAGATCTTGCGCGGAGCCGCGCGAGTTGTACAGCCTGGAGGCGCCTCGCCCACCACCAACGATGCTCTCAGTTGCTCATTAACCGAACTCAGTTAATGGTAGGAGAAGACATGTAACCGTATTTGGATTACTAAGTCACGAATCTAAACGTACTCTAGTCAACATTCAACCCCATTTGAGTAGATAAACGTACAAGAAAGAAACATTTTAAAAAGCAAACAATTCACCATGTCTGCCAGGCGCGAGTGCGTGTTAATCTCACGAAACGGATTTCGAAGATTGCTGCAGGGACATTACGTGAGCGCATTTCGCGAAAATCGCTGCGGCTTAACGGCGTCCGATGCTTCCTTCCGACAGAGACCGGAACGGCGAGAAATGCACCCACATGGAAATCTTGGCTCTGGGCTGCAGAAGCCGGGCTCGGTGATAGGTTCCTACGGTAGATACGGGTATCGCGATTGGCTACAAGTGGTTTACGCTCCATACGAGCCTACAGGAAATAGAAATACTAAAACGTACGGCGTAGACACAGACAGGGTACTACTAAATGCAGGTCCTCGTCGAACGACGACAACCATTCTATATTTCAATTCTTCACGGCCCTGATCTTTGTTTCACGTAACGTACTTCCGCAGAAAAAGACGTCTTCCTAGATTAGAAAGATATGTCAAATTTTGAAGGACACAAAGAAATGACGGAAGTAGTACATTCACACAATTTTTCAGAGGGGTTGCAGCACCCACGAACATTTCTTTCTCGGATCTATATCAAGCCAGCAACCCTGGGCCGTCCGCATTCGAAGCCGCGATTCACCAACTCCGCAAACTGCGCATGTGTCTTCCAGGAGCAGCGCTGTAACTACACGCTACGAGACGGCGCTTCCCTTCCTTGGTAAGGCGAGCGGCAGGCCGGTTACGTGATCCAGAGATTAGCTCTGCGCTCGCTCGCGCAGGAGCCGTCTTCCCGGTCGCAGCGAGCGAAAGCGAAGTGCGCAGCGCAGCACGACTCAGCCAGCGAGCGCGCGCGCATGCGTGTGCGTGCGTACGTGTGAGCACGTGCGGAAACTTCCCGGAACCGAGCTCCTGCGGCGCCCGGGGCGGGTGGAGCCAGAGACGTACGGTGCGAGGGGAAGGGGCGGGGAAGGAGGCGGAGACGGGGCGGAATAAACGAGTTGCAGGTGACGCGTCCTTGGGTGTTACGTGATCAGAAGGGAAGACGGGCAAGCGCATTCTCCGGGACCCAATGCGATCGTCGGGCGGGATACAGCCTCGACGAGAGCGCCTATACTGAGGATATCCGCGTAGTTTTCTCGGAAGGCACGAAAACTCGACAAACACGTTCATCATGATATGCATGACCTTGCACAAACACGCATCCACCGAAATGTCACACCAGCGACTCCTAAGACTTTTCAAACAGTGCCAATGACACTGTAATGACAATACCTACTACAATACTTTTTCACTACAACACGCTTTGTCGACATGCAATTTGTACAAAGACGTATGCGCAATCGCTCAAAGATTCTTAAAAACTCGCGCAACATTTTCAGAGATCTGGCACTGAGCAATGGGACAAGTTCAACTCAGAGACACATTATATACAATGTGGAAGAATAAATAAACTACACATTTATCAGCAAGAAGCGTTTTCTTTCTAAATTCCTGTCATAGAATAGATCCCCGATCATTCTTCGTAGAAGATGTATATCGATATCAAAACGACCAGGCAAAAAAAAAAAAAAAAAAAAA